CATGACGTCGAGGCCATTCTGGGGATTCGTGTTGAGGGTAAACGACTTTGTGCTGTGGCTGATGCGGATCAGGCAGATTTGCTGGCGGAGTTGTTGGCGGTGGACAGGGCTGCACTGTACACCGAGGTGCTAGGTGTTTGGGAACACGGAGGTGTGAAGATCGCATCCGTGTTGCAGCGGTGTTTGTACCCCAGTGCACGTAGGACGCACGACGCACAGCTGAGTGCTTATGTTTTTCTACTCCTCGGATGTACCTTGTTTCCGGATAAAAGCGGCGGAAACAAGCTCAGGCCACGCGACATAGTGGAGGCGTGTGACCCCGACAGTGTAGGCTAGTTTTCCTGGGGATCGGCTACGTTGGCGTATTTGTATCGCCAACTAGGATTTGCGAGTCGGGCTGACGCGGCAGGTATCACTGGGTGTCTGACTCTATTGCAGACCTGGATATACGAGTACTTTCCTGCATTGCGACCACATCGTGACCCAGTTCCTATTGATGAGGGGATGCCGCGTGCTTGTGCGTGGAGTCCGCGCTCGGAGAAGAAGTCCGTTGACCGCCTCCGATCGATACGGTTATTGCTGGACAGGCTGTCCCCCTTAGAGGTAACGTTTATAAATTGTTTCTACATTTTATTATTTGCACATATTATATTTATGTTATTAAATTTTATATGTTGTTATTGTACAGGTGAACTGGATGCCTTTCGGCCCGAACCCTAGTGTTAGGGTACCCAGGACCCTGTACACGGGACTCATTCAGTATCGTGAGATCGTCGAGGCGTACATGCCCCAACGTTGTCTTCGCCAGCTTGGATTTGTCCAAGTTGTCCCTCCTCCCCCGGCATGCCCGATGAAGGCGGTCCGACCTGCATCGTCGAGGGACTACGTCGTGCAATGGCCGGATATCATGACCGGGACGTGGGACCAGTTTCCGATGGTGGCCCGCTTATGGACTGCGGAGTTGCAGCGGCCGCCCTCTGGGGTTACTCCCATGTGTGACCATTACTACATGGAATGGTTCAACCGGTATTCGCACCCGAGGTTGATCGCAGATCTCGACCACAGCGATGATGATTATGTGCCACCGCCTACTGCCACGGAAGCGGTATGTCTTTTATTATATTTATCGTTGTCTTTTAATTAAGTTTAATATGTTGTTATTGTATTTCATCTTCTGTTTTTTGTTGTATGCAGTGGATGGGAAAGATAATGCAGGACGTACAGAAACTCTCTCTTGAGAAAGACAGCATGAGTGCAACAGGGAGAGCTGTTGTTGATAGTCTGGAATAGACCCTTGCGCAGTGGGAGTCATCGTCGAGGAGGGATTACTGATGGTTATTGTATTTTATTTATAGAGAATTATGTTGGACATTATGTTGTAAGATTGTAACATTTTAGATTGTTCTTTTAGCTTCCAACTTAAACATATTATCAGTGCTGTTTTTAAATTTTGATATAACCGTTCGTGGATCCGCGCAACTTACCCATGCAACATATAGAATGCAGTAAGCAATACAATATAAAATATTAATGTTCTCATTAAAAGAGCAACGTACAAATAAGATTACAAATAAAGAATGTAAACATGAAAAACTAAAATGCAGCTAGGGTGTTCCATTCGTGGATCCGGTCATGATATAGCGCATCCCAACCCTCTACGCTCGCTGTGCGAATGTTGTACCACCGAGGTATAATCGGTGGCACTGGAAAATCGGTTGACATGTCTAGTCGGATGAAATGTCTGTATGACGACCCAAGAAACGCAATAGCTAGCTCTCTGACCGGTGTGGTGACAGTCTCACGCGACCGCCAAGGGAGAACCGTGGTACAAGGATAATAAGCTTGACTATGCACTCCCAGGCCGAAATGCATGACTGCGCATTTGTAAATGTTTGCAACGGCAAACAGATCTAGGGGCGCGTCAAAATAATGATTTTGGCCGCAAGGTCCACCTCCCCACCGGATACGCCGCAGAGCGCCATCCAAGTCATCCTGGTACACATGACGATAAACATTTCAGTTAGAGGCAATTTCGCTGTACATCAACTGACGCACCAAACCGTAGTTGTCTTCGCCCATTTGAAAAACATCAGCCACGACCCGGAATCCGCAGTTACCATCTCCGATTACATCATTCCACCCTTCCAAGTACGAAATGATGATCGTAGGTATCCTTTCCTTGTACGGAAACTGATCAACATCATTTCTTCCTATTCACCATATAATTATAGACAGTTAAGAAGGCAGGAGTAACACTTTAAAACTATGTGCAATAAAAACAACCACAACGTACCAGTTCTCAGGGGTATATTCACAGACGATGAAGATTGACTACGACTAGATGACGATGTCCGACCACGAGAACGACCACGACCAAGACCACGGATATACTCAAACGCACTCCTGTTCCGCCGTTGTCGACCTCGAGGACGGTCAACTCCTTCGGGTTCCTCATAATCTAAGGTAGACGGGTGGAACATGTCATGAAGTACATGAGTAGCGTCACGAATAATAGAAGGATGGCTGGAGGACACTCGGTCGTACATCGAACGAAACTGCTCCAACTCCTCCTGTTCACGGTCGGCCGTTTGAGTGTCTGCATGCTCACCAATAACAAGCGTCCTCCAGAATGAATGGACCTGATCAACATGTAACGACGCCCTTTCTTCTGTAATAACGCGGTGAATGGTGCATGCGCAAGGTAATCCATGAGTTACTGAAATAGTACACCCACACCGAGCATACACTTCGTCAGCCAAGTCCCTCACCCTGTTCAGCTCAGTGAGAATCAACCCCAAGCAGTAGTGCGACACACGACCATGGAGAATCTTAAATATAAAATGGCTATACATCGTACCATGTCGTCGTCTGGAGTCCTCTAGAGAGTTCCTGATGTCGTTCTTCTGAGTTTCAATTGACTTGTTCAGTCTAGCGAACAGTGTATCCAAAGCAGCGGTCGATGAATCAATCCAGTCCTTGGTAGTTCTATGAGCGCTCTCAACTCTACATGTTGTAGTGTTCCCAAAATGAAGTACCTGGTTTGTCCAATATTTGACAAACTTTTCCCTATGAGGGACCCATTGATGCATCACATAGTCCACCAGTGTCGGACACCACTGGTACGAATCCCTGAAGTTAGCCAATGCTCGCTCATACGCTTCCTCTGTGGTAGCCTGTAGGATCTTCCGCCACTTACCATTCACCAATCTCTCTGCCATTTCCAAATTCTTCTTGAAAAGGTTGTAGGCTTTCACTTTCACGCAGTTGTTGATGTGCCATGTGCACAATAAGTGGTTCGATTCGGGAAACAGCTCTGCTATGGGGGCAAAGAGACCTCCCTCACAGTCGCTGACGATGGCTGCTGGATGAACATTAGGCCCGATGTAGTTTCTCAGCTTCTCCAACACCCAATAATAACTTGGAGCCGTCTCATCCTTGATGATTGCATGACCAATCAGAAAGTTCTGGTTCGTTGGAGCCATCCCAACCATCTCAACCAGTGGGAACTTGTACTTGTTTTTCTTGTACGTTGAGTCGATCAAAATCACAAATGGACAAGACTTGATCATATCAGCACAATCAGGATGCACAAGGAAAAGATGAGTCACCTCCGTTGTATCTTCATCAGAATCAAACCAGAACAGGTAACCACGTGATTGTGCCTGGTGTAGCAGCTGCTGTATAGGGTTCCTTCCCTCTGACCGTTCAAACCTGAGTTGCTGTCTGACGTTGTAGATGTGTCTTCGGTTTGGATGGTCTTCTGGAAATTTCTCTAACACAGATGCTAATATTTTAGCAGGCTTCACTTGAGCATCACTCATTTCTTTCACAACTAGTTTCGCAGCAGGACTTAAGCCGCTCAGTTGTCGATGACCCTCTTCATATACTATCATCTCATGGTTGTGATACCCCCATTTAGAGTAACCAATCACTTCCCAACCGTCACGACTCCGTAGTTGTCGAACCTTTACTCTGAACTCACACCCACAACCTTTCCGCTTTGTATCAAACCGAGTGGCTGTACGAAAATCTCTTTCTTCTCTTTTGCGATAACGGTCACATCTCAAAATGCGATCCATTCTACCATCCCGTTGAGATTTATGAGTTACTACTACCAAGCAAAATCCAGCTGCAATTGCAACCTGTTTTGCCCAATCAATCGCCTGTTGAGCTTCTTCGAATGGACCATCATGTCCAAATATCCCACTGTAATCATTTCCGTCTCCACCATATTCCTGCATCAATTATATATTACAATAAATACATTTAACGGATAATACATTTAATTTCTATATTTACACAGAATTAACACAAAAAAAGCATAATTATATATAATCAAACTTAATTTTTATAAAAACCCAATTCGAATTTTCAAACTAAATTTAAAAATATACCATTTCGAATTTTCAAATTTAATTTTAAAAAAACCTATTTCAAATTTTCAAATTTAATTTAAAAAAAACCCATTTCGAATTTTTTTAAAAAATCATTTTCGATTTTTTTTTTAAAAAAAAAATTAAATAAAAAACAACAAAATCAAAAAAGAAAAAAAAATTTAATTTATAAGGGTGGCGTCTGCCAGGGCTGCCACAGCCACTGGACTGGCGCCTGGCAGGGCCGCCTCACCCAGAGGAGTGGCGCCTGGCCAGGACGCCAGTCTGGTGGTCTGGGCGTCTGGGCTGGACGCCACTCTGGTGGTTCTGGCGTCTGGCTTGGACGTCCAGGCTACGGTTTGGGCGTCCATCCTAGGCGCCGGAGCCACTCCGACGATAAACCGTGAATTTTAACGGTGACTTACCTCGTTTTCCGTCGACGACGACGTACCTCCGGCGTCCCCCGCATCTCCGGCCTGCCCTCCGGTCTCCCCCGGCGAGCCAGTACGGCTCCACATTTTTTACACCGAGATTATTTCAATTTTAGAAAATGGGCATAATGGTCAAACCATATCATATTTGTGGGCTTTATATGGTAAATTGCGGGCGATGTTTAGCGTTTCACTTACTATGATGATGGTGGAGGATCTGGGCTACGGGAGGTTTTTGGGGGGAGGGATGAGCTGCGTAGGAGTGGGGGAGGGCTTGCGTAGGGCGGCGAATGGTGGGGGAGGTGCGATGAGTGGTTTGGTGGATGGATGGTAGCTGGAAAAGGTGGAAAGTTAATGAATTAGGTGGTTGTGTGGTGGTGGGACTAGTGGGATTTGTTTCCCTTTGTCATTAAACAAATAACATAACACATTTCAAGGGCTTCATTCCATTCTCCTCCATACCCTTTCCTCATTCCATTCCGATTCCACTTTGCGAACTAAACGACCCCTAATTGTTTCTTCTATAGTTCTACTCTCTTCTCTATGGAAAATGAAATATTAATTTGTTAAGAAAATCGCAGCTGCTAGTCTGCAATTGTCACTATTCTGTGAATAAACAAGTGAGAGCTCCAAGCAGTTGATATGAAGAAGATTACACATCGAGCTTCTTCTTCCTTCTTTCATGGCGTTCCTGGTAATTTCCTCCATTTTTATTCCAGACATTATTTCTCCTCCATTCCTATTATTCACGACCGTTTTCAATTTCTCAATTCGGTTAAAGAACAATGCAAATTAGGGTTTTTTGATCTCAAATTACCCCTTTCCCTTTTCAATCAATTGACTTCTTTGCGTCCTCTTCCTTCTGTTATCGTTTTCAATCAGCTCTTCACTGCCATTTCCAAATTGAAACGCCTTCATCCTCATTCCGCCATTATTTCTCTCGTTAGGCAGCTTGAATTACTTGGTATTAAATACGATAGGCATTCGTTGGGTATTCTCGCCAATTGTTATTGTCATTTAGGCCGCGTTGATTTCGGGTTTTCTATCATGGCTAAATCCCTTAAACTTGGTTATCCCCCAAATGATTATACCTTTAACACCTTAATCAATGGTTATATTATTAATGATAAGCTACCTCAAGCTGCTCATTTGTTGAATAAGATTATCAATTTAGGTTTCCAGCCTGATATTGTTACATATGGTGCTATTTTCAAAGGCCTTTGTAGAATCGGCGACAATGCCAGTGCTCTTACTTTGCTTACCAGAATGCAGTCTGCTGGTCATTGTAAGCCTGGTCTTGTCATATATAGCACCATTATTGATAGTCTCTGTAAGGACAGCTTATTACAACAAGCTATGGACCTCTTCTCCGCTATGAAAACCGATGGCATTCAACCTAATGTTGTCACCTATACTTCCTTGATTCGAGGCCTCTACAATTCTGGATGCAGGGAAGAGGCTAAGGGTGTATTGACTGAGATGTTAAAGAGCAACATAGCACCAGATGTTACAACCTTCAACATGTTTGTTGACATGTTTTGTAAAGATGGTAATGCTGAGGAAGCGGAAGCGATTTTAAGACTCATGACTGACAAAGGTGTAGCTCCTAACATCATTACTTACAATGCTTTACTTGATGGTTATTGTTTGCGTGGTCAGATGGAAGATGCAGAAAAGCTACTTGATATCATGGTCCAGAATGGTTGTGAGCCTGATCTTGTAAGTTTGAGTACTATGATCAATGGATATGTCAAACTCAAAAACATTGACAAGGCTCTTACTATATTACAAAGTATGTTTCAGAAAGGTATAACACCAAATGTTGTAACCTATAGCACTCTTATTGATGGCTTGTGTAAAGCCAATAGACTTGCACTTGCACAGAAGTTTTTCACAGATATGCAAGCTCACGGAGTTGCTCCTGATGTTGTCACATATAATTCATTACTAGATGGCCTGTGCAAAAGTGCACAGCTGGGTGAGGCAGTGGCATTACTTGAAGAGATGGAGGATAAACATATCAAGCCTGATATTGTCACTTACAATATCCTAATGAACAGCTTGTGTGAGGCTGGGCAACTTGAAGATGCTGCAAATTTCTTCTCTGATCTTGTATCCAAGGGTCTGCAACCCAATTGTAAGACATACACTATAATGATTAAGGGCTTCTGCAAGGAAGGGCTCATGAGTGAAGCTGCTCACTTGTTAAGCAAAATGGAGGAAAATGGTAGCCCCCCTAATGATTGTACTTATAATATAATCATCCGAGGATACATTTTCAATAATGACTTGTCAAATGCACTATATTACCGCGACATTATGGTTAGGGAAGGATTTGAAGCTGATGCTGACACTTTCTCATTGTTTGTTACCCTTTTGTCTACTGGCAACTTAAGTAACTCATCAAAGGACTTGCTTAAGAAATTTATCAATTGAATTGAAGTTGAGCTGTTTGTAAGTGGCAAAGGTAGTAGACTTTTGATGTTGGATAATCAAGAATTCCACTTTATGCTCTTAGTGAAGATTCTATATGAGTAAGGTGTATCAGAGATAACTACCTGTATGGTTTTTTCTGTTCTCTATTTATAGTCCCTAGTCTATTTTTTGACCTTCGTGTATTGCAAGAAACATAATCTTGGTTATAAATAGGCTATCAAGAATTGGTTTAGACAGATTTTGAAAGGGTTAGATTGTCTTCACTGTCAAAATCCTTCCGTCATTATTGAGATTTCAAGTGTGATGATATTTTTGTGAATGGAAACCCTGGGAAGGTTAAATCGGAGATCTTGAACTTGGGAGAATGCTTCAACATGCAAAAGCAGCTTTTGTTGCTGATGATATTCATGGCACTAGAGCCTTTTGAAGAAGAGTATGGGTAAACCATCCTTGTCTTGGCTGTTTGGTAGTTCTTTCCTTGATGAGTGTTTCAAATAAAAGACCTTGTGAAATATTTTATTTTATGGATGTCAATTTAATATATCTATGTGCACTGTTCTCCATAGAATGTGACATATCCCATTTTCAAAATGCCCCAAACTATTGTCAAAATGTGTATTTATTTTTCAAAATTGGGGCCACTGGGCTAGTAAACTTCTTCATTGGAAAAGTTTTGAGTTGAATCAGGACATCTTGATGACTGTCATATACCTCATGTTTTGTTTTTCAGTAATTGACAATTTTAATACGGATTAGGATATAAGTAATACTCTAATGCTTAAATGGCATAATCTGTTGGAACTTAGCTTTGCTCCACCCCCCCCCCCCCCTCCCCCTCCAAAAGGCCCCAGATAACTAGTACATTATATTCTATTTGGTACTTTGTTATTTTGTATGTGGATGTTATCCATCTGATAGGTACATTTTATGATTTCTGAATTCTTTTGACATTCTTGTGCAAATGGGGGTGTTCCTCTTAAGTTCTAAGTGCCGCTACCAAAGGTGAATCATCCATACATAATTAATGATCAGATTACTGACAATGTAGATTTAGCATCATTATCAGAGGCTTATTGTTCTATATAGTGATAATAAATTTAATAGGAAAAAGGTATAGTGATATCCAGGTATTTTCTCACCTTTAACTGTACATAATTGTACATTGATGGCTCCGGCTCTTGTCTTGTCTTCTGATTACTTAAAATGACTCGCCCATGGAGTTGCTTTAGAAATATATCAATTGAATTGAAGTTGAGACGACTGCATGTTTGCAAAGATAGTAAATTTTTGTTCCTTAAATATCCATTTTCTTAGGTATCATATTCATCTTTCTGTTACTTAAGTATATAATCACTTTTATGTAGTATAGTACATTAATTATTAAAGTTTTGATGCTAGGATTTCTTTTATCTATCTTTGACCTCTGGAATGTATTATCTTACCAAAAAATTAAAGAAAACATTGCTTGTGTTCTAGAGTTTAAGGGTTTTTCTTTCTTAATTTTTTTTTTCAATTAATATTTCGTCTTTTTTTTTTTTTTTTTACACATTATCTACTGTTTTGTTTTTCAAGTTACGATGTTAGCCTTATAATATTTATGTCCTACTTCAGACATGATAAACAAGAAAAACACCTATTTGCATTTTGAAAGTTGGTAGTTATCATTTGAGGCAGACTTGATTCCAGAAAGCACTGATATATTATGAATTAATTGATCGAGGTACATGAGATTTTCATTTAACATGCATTTTCGGAAGATATTAGATTGGAATTCTTGTCACATTCCCAAACTACAGTTTCATAAGGAATCAATGGAGTTTTCTGGTAAAGCAATGGGTGGCAGGCAACATCTTTTTTAGGCTATGTCAATAACCAGAGTTTTTTTTATGATGTTTCAATCTTCAAGTCCTATATTAAACTTTAGGAGTAGTGAACATACATACTTTCCCATTTGTCTAGATTTTGGATTACCAGGTTCCAATATTCAGTTTATGTTTCTTGCATGATAAGATTTATAACTGCTACAAGCGTACGAGTATTTGGTTTGCTTGTCCATTTTTAGACTGATGGGATGATACAGCTGCAGGGTATCTAAGTATCTTATTTTGTTACCTTTACTTTAGGTGCTTAAACTTATCTATTGGTTTGATTATTCTTGTAGTTGGAAGGCTTGATTTTGGAAAATAGCTTGATGTATCTAGAAGTCTAGAACCTGACCTGTTTAGTGAAAATTTTCATTCAACATCGTTGCGGTCTATCTGAGTAACTTATTTGTTCATTCTGTTGCACAAAAACCAATTTGCTGAACCTAACATTGATTTCCAGGTAATAAACCAGCTTCTTGTCTAATCGCGCAAACCATATAAGTTGTTGGATTTCAGGGCCTAATTCTTGTGTCATGCAAATGAGGAAAGCACTTTGATTCCTGGTGATGTGTTGCTGAAAATCAGGTACTCCCTATATGAATAGCTTTATACAGATCAAAAGATATTGCTGAAATGCTGGTTGTTTCCTGTGTTAATTGGAAGTACAAAACTAGCTCATTTTCTTCCATTGTTCTGTGGCAAAACTGTATTTTACAACATGTAGTAGCCACATACATGTTCATTTTCTTCATTCTTCAAATGCAACTTTGTAGACTTGCAATTATGATTACATTGGTGATTTGGTATGGTGAAAACGTAAATTTTAAATAATCATCGGCATCATTTGCTAGCATTTCATTATACTAAAGTGTATACGAAACTTTGTCAAACATATCCTGAATAAGTCAGTAATGCATCTAAAGCCTAACAGGAGCGGTTGCTGCGTAGAAATTTGACAACTTATTGGAATAGAGACATAGAACATATCGTAACAAAATGGTGCTCATATTTTTGTACAGTTCTGAAAGGATGACTTTGAATCTTACAATTCTTATATTTGGTTGCTGGATGTCTTCTTTCTTATCGTGCATAAAAACATAGTGCAATATGTCTGCAAAAAAGAAGTTTATATCAGTAACAATTGATGTGTGTTTATGTTTCAAGCTGAAACTCTTTGAATATACGAGTATATGTATAAAATCTAATAAGGTCTTTCTTGAGTATCGGTCTGCAGTCTATTCTGTTTTTTTCTACTCAAATATGTTTATAAGATATTTAATATTTTATGAAACGTAAGAGCAAATTAGCTGCTACACTTTTGCTTTGTACAATTTCCTGAAAAATTTTCTGTTAGCTTCACTGACTTTAATTTTTTTTTTTTTTTTTAGTCAGTATTATTAGCTTTCCCGAGCCTGCAAGTCGTGTTTGCTGCATGATTCGGAAATTGTGATTGGGCTTTCTCTAATTTAACTAGATCTCAGTGAAGAACTTGATTCCAAGAATACTATTGCACATGACTGAAGAAATTTCAAGAAGAAACCTTCTCAACAGAAACTCCTTTCTATGGAAGCTCATCAAAGATATTTCAAGTTATCATCACCAAATAAGGCCAATGCATACAACTTGAACGTTCTTTTAGTGTGTAATCTGTGTATTCCTAGTTATTATTTTATTTTAGTGATCCTTTAGGTGACATGAAATTCATCTCACTTGGATGATGGGTTGATGTGCCAGATTCATTAATTGAACGAGCATCATTTTTGTTTGGAATCAGGTGTTTTACTCTATGAATTGAGAGTTACCTTCTCATATCTGGAACTCACTGAAGTTTGAAAGCCTAAGATCATTTCAGCGTCATCTGTATATTGAAATGAATTTGATCCACGAGCTCTCTATGTATTTGATTATCAAGTTGATGGGAGCCGGTGTGATAGGTGAGACGACATAGATACTTTGTTCAGTTTCTTCACTGGAGAAGAAGACCACTATACTCTCTGAGTTACATAGTCTCAGAGCCCTAAAGAATGGAAATTTGTTGTTGTTTCTACTGCTGATGAATTAAGCCTTGTCCACAAATTGGGAGCAAAATGCACCTTGACTAAGTTACTTTGGAGGATTTGTCTACCTTAATTCTTAATTTAAATACTACGGAGTATAAATTGTGTTTTGTAGAATAAATACAAAGTAAATGCTTTTCTAAAAAGTGAGTAGATAGAAAACACCGAAGGAGAAGTATAGTTTACTTGTTATCTTATTTGATCTTATTAGCCATTTTAATCCGAAATTGTTAGCTCTTACAAGTTTCTGCTCTTATCTCTAACAATCGTTGCAGCTTATTTTAACCCTTTCATCTAAAATTTGATTTTGTACAATGTAAAAGAGCAACAATTTCTTAAAAAAAAATAAAACGATGCGTTTTAGATAGAAACGATGCGTATAGAAGATTTCTTTTCGTTTTTGTCTCAGTGAGAGTGATAGAGCCTAGAGCTTTGAAAGAGTATAATTTGGCATTTTGCCCACTCCATTATTTCAAGCTGAGAGATAATTCGAGTATTAATTAGTCTCAGATTTTTCAAGAACAAGATTTACACAACTACATACATTTTATTTATTATTTTGCATTTTCTGGATATGCTCAAAATTTGTATAGAATAAAATAATGCAAGTGATTCGAACGTCTTTACCCTCTCCAGTTCTTCATTCCCGCTCAAGGTAATTTACTCAAATCACCCACTAATTGTTTCTCTTTTTATTTTATTTTTTCAATTAATTTTTCATGTTTTATGTTCTAAATTATTTTCTCCCGATTTTTTTTTTTATTTTTTTTTTATCTGGGTATAGTATAATCATTTATTGATTGCAATTTAGCTCAATTTAAATCATACCCAACTCTAAATTGCTTCCATTTTTGTTAATGTGATTGGTTTTTTTTTTTAATTGTTAATGGGCATTTCAATATTTTTCAAAAACATTAGGGTATTTAAATTGTATACATTAGGAATTTCTTTTATGTTGATTGAAGCTCATTTTTTCATCTTTAAATGTCCCTTTTGTTAGTTGTATGTTGTTGAAGATTATGTTATTTGAATTATAGTCATGGCAGCGAGTTCGATTTCTTGTAGTTGATCACTAATGGGACTTTTGAGAAGAGACATGGTTGTATATTTAAGAGTGACAGTCTTCATTTCTGAAATACTGAAATCAAGTATTACTTTCCTTTGCTTTTAGGGGGAAGACTGAGAATTTAGTTGTAAGATGCTCCATTAAGCGTCCGGCTTCAGATAATGGCATTCCTAAACATATATTCTCTGGGTTGGTAGCTTCTTGCATAGTTTTCTCCCAAGCCAATTTGGTTAGTATCTTGATTCTGTTTGGTTTAATTTGCGCAATTGAACTTAAACGAGTAAAATGTAGCTTCGGATTATGCATTTCTCATATGATAAGATGGGATGAACTCTTGAGTGAGCTCGGAAAGTTTGTGTAAAATGATCTACATTGGTATTGGTTTGTACAGAATTTTGCTTTTGGTAAATCTACTTGTATTTTGGGGCTAACAGGTGTATGGGGCAGATCTTCCTCGTCGCGATAGCATAGGCTTGCTTGCTGATGTCTCTAGCAGTACGGTTCCATTTCCTCTTGATGAGAATTCTAGTAATGCAGATGGGAAGGAGGTGATGATGATGATGATGAGAGGTATGACAGCTAAAAACTTTGATCCTGTTAGATACTCTGGCAGATGGTTCGAGGTGGCCTCTCTTAAACGTGGATTTGCTGGACAAGGCCAGGAAGACTGTCATTGCACCCAGGTGAAATTAAAATGATTGTATTATGTTTTACTACTGCAGGACGTCGGTCCCACATTGATGTTTTACTAAGTAGACTATTTGAGAAGCTTAATCCGCCTTTCATGAGGTGCTACTAGTTACTCGAAGTTGTTCTCTATCTTGGTGGTTCTTGAATGTTGATATGAGGAATAAGAAATCTTATCGCTCTTTAATATCTGTTGAAATATGATGTTTCTTGATTCCAGGGAATATATACATTTGATATGGAGGCACCTGCAATTCAAGTTGATACTTTCTGTGTACACGGGGGTCCTGATGGGTACATCACCGGTATAAGGGGAAAGGTTCAGTGTCTCTCAGAGGAGGATAAGGAGCTGAAAGAAACTGCTTTGGAGAGGCAAGAGATGATCAAAGAGAAGTGCTACCTGCGTTTTCCTACTCTGCCATTTATTCCGAAGGAGCCATATGATGTGATTGCAACTGATTATGACAATTATGCTATTGTCTCAGGGGCCAAAGACAAAAGTTTTGTCCAGGTAATTGGCAATCTCATTATTGCACATTAGTTCTTTGAACTTCTATTATTGCACATTATTTCTTTGAACTTATATTATTGCTGAGTTTTCATCTATTCAATGATGTATGGAGGCAGAATGTAGCAAATGCCTTTTTTTGATTTCTACATATACAAACCGAATCTCTGAAAATAAAATGGAATATAGTCTAAGCTCCATCATCTGAAAGATATTAATTATGAAGAACCAAACTGATCTGAATGGTCTAGCTGATTTGGCTTGCTTTCTTTTTGTTGTCATTATCATCATTGGTAGATTTTATTTATATGTTCACTTTTGCTTTGTGAAACTCATGAATTCGGAGAAGAAGTTGTTATGTGAGTCGTTTGAATTATGAAATCAAGGCTTACACTTCTGCTCTGTCATTTAAGCTGTTGCCACTTCTTTTTTTTATGTGAAGATGCTGATTTTTCAACTCAATACCCAATGCATTAGTATAAGTTGAATCTGTGATGAATATGCTATGAATTTTACAGATCTACTCAAGAACACCTAATCCTGGACCTGAGTTCATCGAGAAGTACAAAAATTACCTAGCAGACTTTGGATACGACCCAAACAAAATCAAGGATACTCCCCAAGATTGCCAAGTTATGTCAAACAGTCAACTTGCTTCAATGATGTCTCAATCCGGAATGCAACAGGCTCTAACCAATCAGTTCCCTGATCTTGAATTAAAGTCTTCTGTAGCATTTAATCCCTTCTCAAGTGTACTTGAGACATTGAAGAAGCTTCTTGAGCTCTACTTCAAGTAGTAGTGAATCTCATGTAATGATGCTTCTTGCATGTATTTCCATTGTAATTTTGTTAAAATCACATTAACATTCATCACGTCTAACAATTCCAAATGGCAGCCTATTATTAATATTGTTGCTGTACGCCTGTACAAGCAGGTATTTGTAAGATGAGCCTGTATTCTAATTAGGATCCTCTGTTTGAAGAAAGATCACAAATACTCGCATGAGATGGTCACACAATAGCTTATTGTAAAATAGGTTTGATTCTTTACTATTGTCAAAGTCAATGTTTGACATGTCAAAATATGGTTTTTTTTTTTTTTTCATTCGAGAGTAGTGTCCAACGATAAGCTAGTGTGATATGATCTCGACGTCTCTTGTGTTGGGGATTTTCTGGTAAACAAGGGTCACAAAGAAATGGAAATGAAATTATTGGAAAAATCTTCGAGGCGTGAACGGGATCACTTTTCCAAAAGTATAATTCCGACCCTATACTACAACTGGGTATCACGGAAATGACTCAGAAGATACAACGAAGAACAATTACAATAACTAGTAGGATTATCGTAATTCAATGTATAAAAGTGTTAGTAATTTTGTGAAAATGAACAACTGATTATAACTTCCTATGCTAAAGTGATAAGATAGGAATAATATTTCATCTCTCAGCTTTTTTTCATCCATCATATGAGGAGTTTCTCATATATATAAGATAGTAGCTTAGTATGTCACTGGATTTTTCAAACGTAACAAAGCATTAAGTCGTGCATTAAACAATGCTTTAAGTTATGCATTGAACAATGTTTAAGACATACATAAAACAACGCATCAAACATCAAATGTTAAGAGATGCATTAAACAATGCATTAATACACTAAGTTATACTGCGTTAAGTATGTAACTGCCCAACTAAATCAAGAGAAATCAAAACTGAAACCGTAAGTAGTAACGGCAGCCACTTTCTTCCTTTTTCTTGCATAAAGATGTGATCTCATATACAGTAAAAAAGGATCGTAAGGATTTTTTAAGTATTGCTACGCATGTGAACAAACGATAAATACATTAAAATGGATAGCTAGGATAAGCAATGGTGTCATTAAACTTTGTTATTTCCAAATGGCTGAATTCGTTCTACTCTGAAAGAGCATGTAACTGAAGGGTTTTTAAGTAATCAGCAAGAATTTTGTAAAGTTCCCATAAAAAAATAAAAAAAAATTAACGAATTTGGACTCTGTAAGATGAAGCGTTAAGAATTTTAAAAACTGTGTTAACTACTCATTAATCATAATGCATGGGAAATATATAATAAAAGCTTAGTTTTCTGTATTTAATCAAGCTAACCCTATATAATGGACCAACTCAATCTCTTCAGCTTACTCACAAGAACTCACCCAAATAGCCAAGAAAATGGGAACTCCACCCATCCAACACATCAATCAAGACTCAGCCACCGAAGTCAAGCTTGAATCAGCAAAAAATCTAGTGACTTTGAAAGTTCAAGCAGGGGATGATCATGAAGTTTACTACAGAGTGAAGCGCGATTTTCCTTTATGTCACATGAAACTCGACTACTGCAACCGCCTTGGTCTCGAATATGGAGCTGTTCGTTTTGTGTATGGTAAAGCTGAGGTTCCGGGTGCTAAAACTCCTGATGATCTTATGATGAAGAATGGATGTACCATTAATGCTTGGGTTGACAAGATTGGGGGCTGATACAAATTTTCAAGTTTATGGGAATGAAGAAGGGACTTGCTTAAGTTATTTTACTGGTTTGTCTTGTTTTTATTGCTTTCATCTTTCCTTTTGTTCATATGGTTTAATCATGACGTGCTATGGTAATAGTAATGTATAAATAAAAGCTAATGAGTGTTTTCTTAACCTCTCTAGTATTTGAGAAACACCAAGTTTATTATTGTTCATGTCACAATTTCAAATATTCCAAAGAATTGATTACCAAGATCTCTTAATTGCACCCCCCCCCCTTCTCCCCCTAGGGTTTCAAAGTTAGCACATTACTCGGCATCCTTCCAAACATGTCACGGCCTTAAGCTAGACAATACGACAAAGTGTCTTTCATGGGTAGAATGCGTTATCTTGGTTTAAATATGTGAACAAACAAAATCAGAAAAATGTATTTGTAACGAATTAATCATAAGTATAATTTAGTAATCGATACAGATCATTAGCCTATGTGAATTTAGAGTTGTCAAAATCACACCCGATCCGATCCGAAACCGATTCAAAATTGGACTCGTGTGGACATAATAATTTAACATGATGCAACTTTAAAAATTGACCCGACCCGACTCGACCTCATCAGACCGGATCCGATCATTTGAATTAACACCTCTATATGTGATGCATTGAATAGTTCTTTTAACTTTTAACTTTGTTTTTAATTGACAGAAAATGGTGAATACTGGACGAAAATGCATTGACTGATTGTGGTTTAACTTAGGTTGCACAAGAGCGAGTACTGACACGGACGGAAAAAACATCTATCTCAAAATAAGAGACACGGATACGAAATGTTAAAATTCATATAATATATTTATAAAAAAATTGACCATGTATTTGTCATTTTGTCCTCTCATTATACCATACTTTATCATATTAACAATGAGGTATATATGAAGGCACCTATATTATTAAACAATTATTTTATCTATCTTACTTAAATTTTCTCATTAAAAAAAAAGTTAAACAGCCCATATAATAGTAGGATGCGTTAAAATAGGATACGGTCCAACACGTATCGTCGTGTGTCCCACGAGTGTGTGTGTCTGATACGACGTCAGACACAGACACGGTAGTTGAATGAAGTGTCCATGTAACCTAGGGTTTAACATTAGACGAATACAAAGAATAATGCAATTTACTTGGCAACTTCTCAGAAATTTAAAAGAAAATACAAAATACGAAGTAATAGTTATGCGACTATTTCTGCCGAGTATGAGAACAAAGCAAATGGAAACAGCAATCACCAATTTATACAACAGATGAAAAAGCAATACTCCATTACTCCGTATTTTGACTTTCAACCATCACAACATTAAATAAAAAAAATGAAAAAAAAAAAGGAAGAAAAAGTGTCCTCTAACAAGTCTTTAAAAGACAGTTGTGAAGTTGTTGAATCTGTGAACAAATTTTGATATTCCGTGTTCATGTAGAGATAAATAGAAGTCCATCCATATGAATTTTAAAACCAAAATCGTAATCAACAGATGAATAAGACCAGCGCTTCACCCGCAGCTTTGAATACAAAAATAGGCATACATTTACCACGATATGAAATTCTCGTTTTATACTTATAAGACCTATACACACCACAGTTTGGAACTGAATACAAGCATTCACATTCCAAAGCGCCAGCAAATAAATGCGAGATTCTACCAAGAACAGTTAAAAGTCTGGACTATTATAAAGATGGAAATCAACATTAGGAACGGATGTATTCGAGACTGACTATAGCAAATATATTTCACCCAAGCTTCCGACCAAAACACCCCAAAAACCCCTCCCCCCGTAATAAAGGAACTAGTGAACTAGTTCTTTGCACAATTGAAGCCATGACAAACTGACAACACTATGATAAGGATCAGCGCAATGATGATACCCAGCACGATAAGCTTGATCTTCATGTTCTGAAGCCACATCTTCCTCCTCATCTGTGTTCCTTGTTGCCGGAAATCTTGTGCCTTCAGAAAATACACAAAGGAATACAATCATCAATGAACACAAAACTACATAAGGATATATTAAAGAATGTACTCAAGACATCAATCAACAATTTACAGTATACTTCACACCCCATTAGCAAAAGGGTAGTAGCATTGTTGCTTCAACAGATGTCTTTTTAGGACATTAGATTGAAAGGGTTAAGATCAATAATTTTTGACAGCAACTATCACCAACCTGTGAACGGAGATTTTCTGTCTTGTCAACAAGAAGCTCAATCTTCTCACCACGATCTAGAACCTGTTCAAAAAGGAGTGCAATAATTAACATTCAAGTTTCAAGCAAAGTAAGTTAAAATATTAGAAAATAAAATATAAAAAGCCCCATATTTCCACAGCATCAAAATTGATCAACTGGGATTAATCAATCGTGTCCAATTTAAAATGTCATTCAGTAAACCATGTGACATAACAATAAGATTTACAGAGCAGTTTTACTACATCATCTCCATTCCATTATTCTAGACAAGGTACAGAGGCAACAGCACAACGATGAAGACAATCAAGCTCAAACAATTCGTTCCTATCCCAAACCATTACTGCTAGCTGCCACCAGCCATTAATATGTTAGTAGTCATGTAAAATTCTTATACCTTCTCAATATTTTCCATCATCACTCCCTTGACTTCTGATATCTGAGCCTGCACCTTCGCAAGCTTGTTCATCTCCTCTGGATGATCAACACAGTATTGCATGTGCTCCTTCAGCTTAGGCCTAAAGAACACACACATGTTAGCATGTGTACATAGATTCAAATATTCAAGAGATAGATGAAAAGTTCATGACCAAGAAAACTACCCAAAATCTTTGTTCAAGCTTTTTGCTTGAGCAGTAGCAGCTTTTCCACCCCCATATCTTTTGTTAAAATCATCCTTCACTCGCTCCAAGAATGCCATTGGAATCTGCCTTCCAACAGATTCAACTGCAACTACACAAAAAGCTGCAACATCCAAAATATGGGTGAATTCAGGCCCTAACAGAGTAACAGGTACAATAATGTGGGCAGACTAGATAAGAAGCGGTAAATGTGACATTCCAAGCCCCATAAAAACCACACACACAAAAACCTGAAGCTAGATTTTAAACATGCAATGGATCTAAATCACAATTCACAATTGAGGGTCCAAGGGGTAAAACGCATATGAAGTCCCTTCAAAAAAGATAGTAGGCTCAACTTGCATGTTATTGGCTTCATTAGCTTACTAATTCATATCTACATACAGAAAGAATGAGCATTCAAAGGCTCTAGGACAGGCTCCACCATCCTTAATACCCATTCAAGCAAGACGGTTCCTGAAAACTACTTACCTTCTTGACCACCACATGCAATGATGGGAATTTATCGTACACCTACTTCAAAGATACATCTCTCATAAGTCCACCCTAATGCATTCGCAAGAGCTCAAACAAACTGAATCATAGCAAAAGAAATTTTGCAAAACTTTAAGCAGCCTAAGATCTTCCCAAAAGTGTATCAGACTATTTGACAAATAAATTTAATCGCCCAACCCCAAGTCTCATCCAGGAAGAACCAGATTGCCCAGTGATAATGTAGACAAGTTTCATTCAATACACTGCAGAAAACAAGCAGTACTAACAGCAATTGCTTTGGCTAAAAATAGATTCACATACTCCTTTCTAAAGTCTACAAAGGTTAACTAATTATTAATAAGGAAACCCAAGAGCTATATATTTCAAATCCTTTAAGATAATAGTACCATGTAGTGGCCACTGGGACTAGCAAATCCTTGAGAAATTACAGTGTCAAGTTGTCACACTTCAGCTTACTTCCAAAAATACTAGTATGCATTATATATATTCAGCAGCTCACACACCACAAACTGAAGACAACAAGATTAACAACCAATTCATTTCTTCTTATACCAGCTTCTCACTAATCCTCGAAAAAATCTTACGCAAACAATGCCCTCTCAAGCTCATTCAGACCTCATGCACAGATTGCTGATATCAATGAACAAGTTATTTCTGTGTAATCAAAAGTACCAAGCCAAAGCATTTTTTCTAGCTATAAAAGACAATATATTCAAAATTCACATACGAAACGATCCCAAACTAGCAACCTTTTGCTCCCTCAAAATATGACCGATTTTCGTAATTCTAGTTTAAGCACCACTAAAGCCTAAACTCCAAAAACAACATAACTGAGTGGTAAGATGAAAATTCACATCAAAAACACCTTCAACTCCCAATTTTAGCAAAAATCAGCATCAAATCCAGATTACCAATTTCTCAAGCAAACCATACCCAAATTACTTGGACACAGAAAATTCCATCTGGACTCCCCTCAAATAAGAAGGCCCTCATCAAAAGAACCACAGCTCTAACCCAAAATATGAATGAAACATTGTCGGCCATGACTAGATCAAACAGCAAAATCTTCTGTTATCGACAACAACAAAATCTGAAATTCAATAGATCAATCGCAACTTCAAGGTAAAAAGAACTACAAACACCCAGAAAACCCTAGATACATCAGATTTACAACAAATAGTCCCTAATCGAAGAATCCTACACATACCCTTCATTCAAAATCCAAAACCCACAAGAAAAATCCATAGAATTACCCCAGATTCCCTCTTTAAAAACTTAGCAATAGAAGAATCCAGCTCAAATCCAACACTAAGAACCCCAAAACTCAACAGATCAAAACCAATTCGAACAATCACACCAAACTTACATAAAAATGAACAAAAACACCCAGAAAAAGGAGGAGAGAGAAAACAGAATAAAGGAAACATACTGAAGCCATCGGAGACGAGGAAGTTGAAGGTATGACCATCGCAGTTGTAGGTAAACTTGTTGTTGGTAGCTGGAAGTTTCTGGAGACATTGAGATGCGATGCTTGTGAAATTACCAGTAAACTCCGTGTACTCTGCTAGAATCACCGTACCTCTTGCTACAAAACTGTAGATCAGATTTTGTTGCCCCATTTTCTTTCTCTCTCCTCAATCTAACACGGATCTTTGTTGTTTTTAGAGAGAGAAAGTGAGGAACGCAATACCCAGTACGGTTTAGATGAAGTTAGAGAGAGAAATGAAGAAATTTGCAGAGATTGAAGAAGAAGATGGTTGAGACTTTTAGAGAGAGAAAGGAAAGGGTAAGAGAGAGAGGAGGAGATTGGAAATTTAAACCCTGATTTTTTTGATTTTAGGGACTTTTTGAGTTTTGAAGGCATCTATTTTTTCTGCAATCGTTTTTTTTAATTTTATTTCAATTGTACATTTTTTCCTTGAATTAAAGGAAATTTTATTACCAATATTTGGTAGTAGTGAGATCAGCAAAGAAGGCATTTTCTGATTTTTGGGTCCAGACGGCGCCGTTTTGGTGGGGGGAGGGTCAAGGGAGTATAGGCTGTTGACGAGTCAAGTTAATTTCAAATCGCAATTTGTTCATCAAACTTCGAACCTACAACTTTGTATTTATAAATTCTCAAAGTTACGATTTAAGAATCTAAATGTATAAAAATTAGACTGAACTTATATTTTCACGATAGAGATGTAGAATTACGATCTAAATCGGTTGGAGCAAAAGAATAATAAAAATAAACTTAGCTCAACAAAAATAGAGTTTTTGTTTATCTTTCTATTAGGAACATTTAATGGAGAACATTTTTATACATTTACCTCTCTTTCAAATAATATGAAATTTAAGTGGTTGTTTGGATTAAAGTTTTAATTTTTTTTTTCTAATCTAAATGGGTTGATAATAACATAGGAAGTGGAATTTACCTTGCCCCTTTAAGGTGAATTGAACATCCTATGTGAAAAAAGAAATTACTATATACATTGAAACAAAATAAAGTTTATTGAACATCTAACCAAATAAAGTTTGGCAAAATTTCATATACATTGAAACTTCATAAGGAACATTTCCTATATCATGTAAGCATTAATTGCATAACTAAACTTTCGTTAATATGCAAATAAGTAATCCAATACACTAATTGTATAGAAATATACATAATTCAAAGTATAGAAACATACATAATTCAAACTCAAACGGTAAAATAAAATCACAAGGGACTAGGCCGTGTGTTGTTGATTAAAGTAAGGGTGAAGGAGACAATGTCGGTGTAAAATGGGCTTTTGTTGGTGTTTAGTCTTCCAACAATCGATGGGTGGAAGTAGTAGCGTGGATCCCCCCACCTACAAAAATCATACAAGTACTCTACATGTGTTAACTAATCTTTCATTATTAATTTAATTTAATATAGTTTCACATTAGATTGAGTTATCAATTTTTAAATCATTATGTACACATGATATACGGAGTACAAACATTTAATGCAAATTCAAAGTACATATCATAGATTGATAAATTAGTAAAATACACTCCGTATATAAATTAGAAAAATGATATACATAGTCCTTAGAGCTACATATAAGGAGCTAAAAATGGAAAAAAAAAAATTATATATATATATATATATATGAAAATTGAAAATATAACATTAATTACACTGATTTGTGCATGATTTTATATAAGACAAAATTATTGTTAGTTGATGTAAATAATATTTCGTATTTCATTATACTCCACAGTCCACACTAAATATTTTTACTTTTTTTAGTACAATATAAGTGTCTCATTTTCCTTTTAAAATTAAGATTCACGTTCACATATAAGTTACAAGTATTAAGAACGAATAATAGTAAGTATAAATTAAGCATATTTTTAAGTACAATATAAGTGTCTCATTTTCCTTTTAAAATTAAGATTCACGTTCACATATAAGTTACAAGTATTAAGTACGAATAATAGTAAGTATAAATTAAGCATAAAAGCTTTTAAGAGTGGATTTTGTTTTAAATAAGAAAACGTTACTTAACCTAACCCATACTCCATTTATAATACTTTAATTCCACCTTTCTTTTTTTTTTTTTTTTTTTTTTGAAAGGAAGCTTTGCTTCTTTGCTAAGTTTGAACATACATGACTCATGAGATTTTGTAAATTACTAAATCATTTAGTTTAGTTTAAGCTACTAAATTGATGCAAGATGAATTTCAAGGAACGTATGAGTAATATAAATTAAGAAATTGCTCATATGGAATTTGTTTTTGTTTGTAATCAAAATTACATGTGCATGAAATATACATGAAGTCAAATCTCCAATCTTTGTAAAAAACTTTCCCATTCAAACATGCTACCTAATAATTTAAATCAAATGACCAAGTAATCTTATATGTTCTCATTTCCAAACAAAATATCACAAAGAAAACATAAGAAAAAAAAAAACTAATACTTCATCAATTTAATACTCCTTACAAAATCATAAATGTTGTCCACTAAACATCGCAGGGCATCACTAAGAACCAAAAAATATAGTATCATATTATAGCCACATCATCTAAACTTTAGTCGTTAATTTCTATCACCCCTTAAAGAACATAAAGTTGCCCATCTTATACTTTATATTAATCAACATGAATTGGAAAATATATTTTTGTATTTTATAATTTGAATACTAACAAATACAATTTTTCAGATTTTTGTTACAAGTATTAAATGTGGTACTGAGTATATTATTGAGGTAGATTAGAGAGGGGTCATGAGGATCTTCACCGTACGTACAACTAAGGTTATTTTTTGGCTCATATAAAAATACCTTGATAGTAAAGTGCAATGGTACAATTAGCTGTACTTTAAAAAAATGTCATACAAAGTACTAGGAATCTACATCTATCTGCCTATAAGCCCAGAATTGGTGGTTCTAGTCTATGAAAAAAAATTCTATATTAAATAAAAGTCCAGGATTGTATTTCAGATTTTCAGATAAGAATACGTCCATCTAGAAGTTCAATGATAAATTGCATAAACAACCAGTGAAATGTCAATTTAAAAATGGTCAAAAACAAACCATATTTTTTATTGGTTGTTGATAAGTTCTGGAGTCGACATCATTGTTATGTGGGACATGAATGAATTATACCCAAAGTTGTAACACAGTAAGATTCCAAAGATCAATCTACACAAAATTTCAACCATGAGTGACCTTTGTGAAAGCCAAAGCTAAAATATTATGGCCGGAATTGACTCTTAGGCCCTATTCTTTTAAGTTTTTGGGCAGGGCAGAGTAGAATAAGACTCGACAGAGCAGAGCAAATTAAAGCAGAACAGAGCAGATTTCATTATTATTATTATTATTATTATTATTAAACATTAATTATATTAAATATTAATTATTTATTATTATTATCATTAAATATTAATAATTTATTATTATTATTATTAAAAATTCATAATTATTATTTTTAAATATTAGTTATTATATTTAAAATATTAATTTTTATTATAAAAAATCAATTATTATTATTTTTATTAGTAATAATAATAATAATTATTATATAATTAATATTATTATTATTATTATTAAATATTAATTATTTATTATTATTATTATAATAATTCAATATTAATTATTATTTTTAAGCAGAGTAGAGCAGGGCAGAACAGAGCAGAGCAGCTCTAAAGAATAGGGCCTTACTGTCGTTTCAAAGGCCGCTGCAACCCAAACGGACCATGGTTATAGGGGAGGGGGAATTGAATTTAATGAAAGCCGAAGAAGCCACAATAGCTATTAGACAGGCCACAAGAGTACGAGACTCACCTCTCCCATCAGCGCTGTTAGGATCTCACATACAGAGTTTGAAAAGCTATGATCTCTAATGTAGTGCACCTCCACTGGGTACATTTCAAAGATAATGTGACAAGATGCCAAGCAAACTCGACAAAGGTGCTACATAAACTCAGAGTATAGTCAAATCAAACAACAATACTCAGAGTGATTAAGATGAGTATAAGTCTTGGTTATACCACAAATTATTCGGCAAATCAAACAAAAGTCGTGCTTTTAAATTTTGATAGGTCACTTGAACCATACAAAGATCAATGATACTCTCTTGCATTGCCCCACTGTCCGGACTAGAGTCTGAATCCAATTAACCTTGCTTCCAACTGTCAAACAAAAAAATCAAAGTGATTCCAACTATGCAAAAAACATGTATACAGAACACTCCAAAACAGAAGTGATGATCAATTAGACAATAATATAACTACAAGAACATGGAGTATCAGAGTACATGATAAAGGATTGTTTAAAATCAGGACAGTGCAGTCCGCAGGCATTATCAAGGGTCAAAATTCAACTGGACTATCAAAGATAAGAATTAGGAAATAGTTGGAAGCAAAAACAGCTAGAGCCAGTTCACTGAAGCAAAGCATGTGACAGAAACAGCAGGAATGTTTTACATATAATTAGTAGCTCATGATTACATTTTGTCATTTTGAAACGCCTAATTCAGACAGAATGAAAAAGTGAAATAAGTCAATAACCAATACATGTGACAGCGGAAGGCTATGCATATTAGAAAACCATCACTTGAGTAAAAATCCCGAGTCCCACCTACCTAGGGAGATACACGATTGACACCTTGACGGTAGGCTAAGGCACATATTTTCGAGAGAAATCTCCCTAATGAACCTAAATGAGACTTTTTCCATTGAAATCTCCCTTAATGAGACTTTAATATAGGTAACTACATCTCTATTTATAGGATTACAAAACACTAGGATCAAAAGAAAGCTGGGACCTGATTATTCTACCTTTGCTACTGAAGTGCAATTATGTTGTGGTAGTAAGCATGGCAAAATGAGCCAATATGACCGAATTTGAGTGCTCTGGATGACATGTAACCTGAATGTTGTAATTTATATATCTCTTGCTCAGCCAACAAACACTAATAATGGATAAAATGTCCATACCCACATTCCACAATGTCCAACAGCAAGAATAGCAAGCATCAAATTGATTAAAAAAAAAAAAAAAAAAAAGGCCAGCCAGTTCTTCAAAATCAGAGAGCATAAACTTTATCTTACAAAGCTAGGCATTTGCAGATCACAAACTTAATGGTATGTCTCACCATTGCTGATATTGTGATGGCAGTTAGATTTGGCAATAAGATGAAAAATTCAAAGTGCAAGAAATTATCGTTGTTACGTAACATTCCTTTCACTAAGAAACATACACTTGTTGTCCTGGGGTCCAGGGGTCTAAATAAAATCATTGGTTGGCCATGAGTATTATCAAAGTATGTAATATTTCCAATCAATATATTGTCATCAGTACAGTCACATACTCGCATCAATATCACATTGTTTTGAACTTTCCAGGAGTTGCAAGACTTGCAACTGGCACTCCTTAAGTCCTTTTCGGCTTTTATTTAAGTAAATCAGCAACTAATAGCTAAAGAGAAACCAACAGAGAACATACATAACAAAACGGAAATTCAAATGACTTCTATAGCTACAAAAGCCTTCCTTCAAAACGATAACACTTAAAAAGGTATGACAAGTAAAGCAAAGAATTGCATGTTTCCATATCAATCTGGCTCAACATTTCAAATGACCCTATGCAATAAATCAATCAGACGATACATTTCACAGATGTTTAAAGCTTTCATAATCACCAGCTTACATATCATGAAAAATGACAGAGAGCAGAACAGAACTGCTTAACATAATGCACCTACATTGAATAGACCATATAGAGCTATCATATCAATTCCAAATTCTTTTCCAGGCCACCAACAAAATTAAAGGCATAATGCATACGAATTAATGTCCTATTGTCCTACACTTCGAATAATTAAATGCAATTTACTGACTCATCAATCTAACAAAAGAATTAAAGAATCCCAACAAACCCAACACATTAGTATTATTTTTCAGAAATTTGCATAATTTAAAAGTCATACTTCCCATAATTAGGTCTTGTATATAAAAGTCATACTTCCCATTATTAGGTCTTGTATACAAGAGGGCTAAATTGTATTAGTATAGAACACTATTTACCCCAAAATCATACACCCGCTAAATATTCCGAGTTGGGGCGACTAAACATGGTGTATACAATAAACCCGTTCAACACAACAACAAAATAAAACCAATTTCAATGAAAGAGAGAAAAAGGACAAGCATACTACCATTGGCTTGAAAATTGATCATTTGCTAGCAACTTCTTGTGGGGTTTTAGCATTGATAGAGATTGCATGAAGACCAGACTGAAGTTCATCAGCTAAAAGATCATACACCATACGATGTCGTTTAACAAGATTTTGACCCTCAAATTTAGGGGAAACAATCTTCAAATTGAAGTGAGTTTCACCACCACAATAATTAGCTTCTCTCATAGCAGCATGACCAGCATGTTGATGTGAAACATCTTCAATTTCAAGAACACTTGCTTCTAATGTTGATTGTAGCTTCGTCCTCATTCGATTTGCCCTTGATGCTAATGCCCCCATATTCATTACTCCTCTTGAACCCATCAAATGTAATCTCTTTTTGTTGATGAATTCCTGAAAAACAAGCCAAATAATCAACGAAAATAATAAAATTTAGGATAGTTTTCTGGGTTTGGATTAATTTGATTGACGGATTAAGTAAGATGGAAAACAATCAAATAAAAGTCTCAATCTTTTTCACAATTTTTTTACAGGATTTTTATGAAAGGGTTGCGAGGGTCTTTACCTTGGTTCTGCTCGTCTGTTGTTAGCCAAGGATATCAAACTAGCCAGGCCAAGGTTATAAGCAGATTTTGAGATTTTCCAAATACTGTTTTTTTAATTTGCTGGATGTATCAGGGTCTGCCTAGCATGTTATTTTCGGCTTTGGGCGGACCTGGGTCCTGATGTCTAGTGATAAAGATCGAGGGCATGCGTAAAATAAATTGTAAAATTTACTGAAGTCTTATGCGGAATAAAATCTAATACATACCTCATATTCATTAAAACTTAAACCTTTTGTGATTTTAGGGAGCATCTAATACAACATTGTTCGAAGTAATACATATGGTTAGAATAAAGGGGAAATAAGAAAGTATAGGGCATGCATCGACTCCAATCAACATTTAGGTGAAGTCAGTATTCAAGTATTGAAGACTATCAGTTATCTTACATGAGCATTGTGGCGAACCATCTGAAAACCAATCAAAGATAACATATAATCCGTACGAAGTACTGAATAATGAAGTATGATTTTGTATGTTCATAGCATCATCATTGAAGTACGTTACAAGTCCCTTCTTCAAAATTAGCATTAACTTTTGTCATTTTACTTATAAAGCTTCTTAACTCTATATACTTATCATACGAACACATTTACATTTTTACCTGCCCAGTTTTCTTTTTGGAAAAAATTCTTTAATTGCTACCCCTGATACAAAGCCACATTGCCTTTTACAATGACCAAGTATTACAAAAGAAAATGGAAGTGATGGCTTGCATTATAAAAACCCACAGCAACGCCATGAATGTCAATCAGCACTTTGCATGTCTGAGCTGCAAGCATATCAGGTCAATAGAGCAAGCACGCACAACAAAGAATCACAGGGAGCAAAACTCAGGAACTGAAAGGTCAAACAGTTCCCAAAAAACTGTTCTATGAATACATGACTGTACATTAGAAACACATTTGTACAAAATCCCGCGAGAGGTTTTACAATGATCTCCTCACTAATTACTCCTAACATTAGCATCATCTGATATTGTTTCCTCTGATGAAGCATCACTATCAATTACGATGAGGTTATTAGCCAAATCTGGTTTATTAGTCAAGGGGTTGCCATACTGATGACTCAAAGGGTGTAGACAAGCAGGTTTAATATTGACTGGATTCTTCCGTTTACAGGTTGTTCCCGCAGTTTCTGGAAATGCATGGACAAGCCGATGTCCTCCCATTGGAGGAAGAGTTGAAATTGGGGGTAGAGGTGGATTAAATGGCCTTGAAGGAGTGCTGATCGGATCTTTAAGCCAATGAGGTAAACAATTGTTCATACCCAAGGCCATAGCTGGACCATCAGATGATACACCTCTAATCATAACACTAGCTTGGACATTGTTGAACAAATAACTACCAACACTACTAGCCATAGTTACATGCCTATGAGCTTGAGCTATCCCATAACTCAGAGCGCTGCTTCTTGAGAAGACAGCATCATTTTTAGCATACATATCTCCTAGAGAAAGCTGAGTCTCAGCTGCAACATTCTCTCTCCTAACACCAGTCCCATGACAGCCAACAGGGCCATGGCAGTGTAAATTGTAAGCATCTTGTGGCTTAAGGTTTCTACTTGAAGGTACATGTTGCCCACTGAACAACTTGTACTGTTCTCGTCCCCACTGACCCTCTAGGTCTGCTGCCGTTCTCCATGGAGCAAAGCGCAACCTTGGATCTAGTAGCATAGCATGCCAATTACCCCTTCCATGCCGCCTCAAACCAATCCAAAGAGAATCCAGCTCCTCATCTGACCACATATCTGGACAGGGCTCAAACTTGTCCAATGAGATGTTCCTATTACCCCTCAGAGAAGTAGCTTTAGTATTAATACTATCAAGTAATAATTTGTGTCTTACAGATGCCTGGTCAGGAAATGACTGAACTGGATTCTGCTTGTAATCACAGGTTCTGAAATTACAATTCTGGAATAGGTGTGTTGTGGGGGCATCCTTGGAACTTTGACCTTCATGTATTGGCCTCGTGGGAAGGGATGATCCTATAACAGTCGAAGCTTGTCTTTGACTATCTAAAACACAAGCAACATTTTGCTGAGCTTGGCTGTAACCATTCTCAAAAAGAGTACTTGATGGAGTGATTTGACTAGTTTTCACATCTTCTGCAAATAGCTGGAGGCAATGCAGAATGACATGTTATCTTATCATAAACATAATTGCTAATGAACACACCAAGTATGGAAAGAAAACAACAAATAAGAGAAGTTGAATTGCATGTAACAATTTTTTTCCAGAAATACTCTTCCTTTCCTACCTGCAGACATGTGGATTTGGGTTTAATTTTCGTCTTGATTGAGGTATGAACACCATTAGATGAATCCTCCACTTGACCACTGTCATCTCCAAACAATTCAAAACCCTTGCTCTTCATATTCCCATCCTGCGCGACTTTTTCACTATTTATGACCGTTGAGGAATCCTGAATTATATCTGAAGCCTCCTCTTGGACATAAGATTCTGGAACCACATTGCAATCAATTGCACAAACACCTGGACACAGATTTAAATTTACCATGGAGCTTCAAAATTCAAACCTAATCTAAAATTATCAATTTCCAGACCACAGCATGCAGATAACGCTTACAGACATGCCAAATTGCCAATAAGTACTCCAGTAAGCCAAAGTATCAACAGACAGGTTTCTTAGAATTAAGATCTATATCCAACAGTGCCAATAAAATACTAAAAAAGAAGTCAAGGTACCAGGTGGAGGACAAGAAAGGTCCAATGAATTTGAGCGACGACCCCTATGTTCCACTCTCTTGGCAGCACCATTCTTCAAGTCTGAGGAATCACTTGTGAGCTGAGAGTCACCACTGGAAGCTCGACGTTGTGATACAGGCTGCTTATCTGTTTTGCAGGCTAAATTACAGGAGGCGGCCCCAGTTTCATCATATGATGAACACCTAACATCATCCTTCTGAATGTCAGTACTTCCTATCACATCAAAATAATGAAAAGCAAAGGGAATTGATCCTGATGTCTTAATTGCAGCTTGATTATCAGGTGAGGTGTCCACAACCAAGTCTTCCTGGGTATTACTTGTTTTCTCAGATTTCCTCATGCTGCCATTGAATATTACAACTAATTAAGCATGCAAAACAGCTCTAGAAGTAGGAAGTAACAAATGAAGAATATAACAAACATTTTACATACATCAGATTTTCTTCACAAGACTGTCCACAAGGACATGAAGAGTCTTTTATTCCACTGCTACTCATCTGTTACACAATTAGTTGAGAAGCATTAGACACTAACTAAAACCATCATGATATGAACAGAAAGATTCAAAAAAAGATCAGAAATATAATATATCAGGATAAGCTGGTGATCATGCAATTTAAGAGGAAGACCTTCACTAAAAGCAATTTTACCAGTATACAATTGCTCCAACCCTCTCTCACAAACAGCCTCAGGTTGTCAGATGAAATAGATAGTCTAGATTCTAAATAATCTAAGACCATCTCCAATGGTGGGACTTGAGGGAGTTTTTTTAGGGAGAGAGAGAGTATTTTTTACAAAGGATACCAATAAGTTGGTATCTAAACTTAGCAACTCCAAAAGAAAGTTGCTAAGTTTAGATACTCAACTTTGAGTCTCATTTGACAAAAAGTGTGGGCCCTATATCAATATTATAATATATTTTGTAATTTTATTTATTTATTTTTTTTATTTTTTTTTTGTGAAAAACTTACAATATGGATTTGGTGGGCCAATTGAAAGTGACATTAGTATACTTTAGAGAGTCTCACCATTAGGAAATTAGACTTCACATGAGTTGCTAAATTGAGAAGTGGGTTGGGTATCACCATTAGTGGTAAAAAAACAACTCATTTTGTATTTCAATACTCAAAGTTGAGTCTCACCAATGGAAATGGTCTAATATATATACTTCCTCCATTTCTATTTACTTGACCCATAGCCTTTGGCACAATATTTTAGGAGAGGAGAGAGAATTGTAGTTGGTACACATGGTTTGCCTTATTACCCCAATTGTTGTCCTCACGAGCACTTTACAAGGGTAATTTAGAGAATTTGTCTACTAAAAGCTTTCCAAATATAGTATAGATCAAGTAATATGACATTTCACATTCCAGGAATGTTAGTCAAGTAAATAGAAACGGAGGAAGTAGATATTAAGTCCCCAGATAGGAATAATCTAGAAGTAATTTACTGGAATTAAGGAGCTAGCATCGAGTGACAACTTTGCCAGCCTAACTGGAAAAAATCTAAACAGGCATAACAATACTGCACTAAGTGACATAAAATCAGCAGTTAGTTTAGGAGAATCAGAAAAACTTTTAACACCAAGAAGTCAGGAGTTGGCAAACAACATGACACGACAAAATCCCGACGTGAAATTTGGTTACGTATTGCATATTCAAATATAACAAATTGATTCTAGTGTCAGGTTTTCCCGTCTGTGAAGAAAAAAAAGGTTGGTGTAAAGAGACAATCAACTAGTTTATCTTTTGACACGACAGCAAACCTGAGTACCTGACATGACAACAGGCAATTTAATAATTGCCACTTTGATTGGCTAGGTTCAGAGAGCACACAAACCAGCAACAATCAACAAATAGTTTGACTTGCAAAAAACAGGAACAAAGGTATAGAAAAACAAAGCAACCCAATTGTGATTTCTGGCCAGCACCAACCCTTACAACTTTTTTTATGCCTGAGGATCTGAAATGGAAAGCTAAAAGCATATATAAGTGTCCCTGTATTGATGATTGTGCCATTTCATCTACATCAATAAATATATATCATAATTGATTTTATGTTGGTGACGTGCCCAAAACAGAAAGAGGCGGGTCACCAAATGAGACACAAATTGGAAAAAAAGGACCCTAATCAATTCAGGGATTTCAGGGCTTCAGAGGCGTAACAAACAAAAATTAGCCATACCCTCTCAGAAAGATGGCCAAGTCTTCTCTATTTAGACCACAAACAGCTATGACCTACTGAACCAAAACACAATGAAACCAGAACCAAAAAAAAAAAAAAAAAAAAAAAAAATAGAAAGAAAGATTACAGAGGAACTTACTTTATCACAGCTTTGACAAGGCACATTCATATTTTCAACATCATTGCTTTTGATTTTCATATCCAAAGATTTCTCAACTAGACTGTTATCCTTTGATGCCACTTCACATGTACAAGAGGGAACAGGCCCTGAGTCACACTCTTTGATGACTGTGTCTCGTTCTCTAAACGGGAACTTGGTACACATACCTGCACCACACTCATCTGCTTTCCTTTTCAGCCTTCTACTAAAAGTACGAAGTGGTACACTAGAATTTCCTTTTGCAACTTCGGTTTTACACACATCACTTGGTTTAGAAAGTATATTAGAATCCTTCTCCACTGATTGAGAAACCGAACCGTCCTGCATGCATCGCTCAACGTCCAGATAGCTGGAGTGAAGTGAACAAGAACATTTCTTAATGGAGTTCGTGGTTTCTCCTAGAGACGCTTCAGCAGAAATATGTTCGCCTGATATTTTGAAGGTATCATCCCCAGGCAACTCATGGGAGGCAAGTACCATTTTTCTAGTGTCAGTTGTATCAGATCTTTGAACATCGTACTCCTCTCCAAGTCTATTTGAATTGTTGAGTGCAGGAGACAAACAAGCAGCGGGAATTTCTTCCCCATGACAGACATGCTGTACATACATATAATCAGGCAATTAGGAAAAGAAGGGAGAAAAGAATTAATTTTCTTTTTCTTACCCCCGGCAAGCACACACATACACACAAACAATGACGACGAAGGCAATGGAAAATCATGACTTCTAATAGAACAAAAATTACCAGTAAAAGGAAATATATAAACAACCTGAAGCTGGAAATCTGTGTGCTGATTATTAAAGGGTTCAAGACAGCTTCGACGGTCCATAGTGCAGTCCACATCATTGCAATTAACACTCTTGCAATTCTGCATGAAAAATTGGACTTTTAGGCAAAAAGATCCCATTCTCCAACATGAAGCAAAATATTTCAGTTAGAGGGCACTTTTATCATGCCGTCATTAATAAGCCCCTTCAAAACACATTAAGGATGTTAGCAAGACAGTGACACCACTGATAGAAATAGCAACAAAGGTACAAAGCCTAGAAGATCTTTTGAGAGATTATATGGTGCAGTCACTGATGCAAATATGGAAGCAATGGACCAACTTCTGACTTTCTGAGAGCTAAAATCAAGCCAAGGGATTTTTCAGCAAGGAATGGCCAAAGGACCTATATGTCCAGCTTAAAGGATTTCACCAAATTACATGATAGTGAAAACACATGGGCCAAAGTTTGGCATGAACATTTATACCAACAATTAGAAGGAAAAGTAAGGAAAGTGTGCAAGAGACTAATATATTCGTGTTTCACACTTGCAATAAAAACTTCTTTTCCCGATTTCCAGTTCATTATTACACAATACTCTATTCTAAATGTCTCTTTAATCAGACAACATTTTCAAAACAGTTGTTCTCACCTTTAAAACTTTTTCTGGACTCTTGATCTTCTCGTTGGGGGCATCCTGATGTTTGTCCTCTTGAACATCCAAAGAAAAATCAGCAGAGGCATCCGCATGCCCAACACCAGAGCATGAAGATAAGCGCTTCCGCTTGTATGTAAAAATTACTTTTGCAGTAGACATCTAAGCTTTCCACACAAGATTCTACCACAAAAACTGATGTAGTTCTGTAAAACGGAAAATGTAAACAAATCCGAGCTCTTCTGTACCACCTGGAATCACGTCATTATATGATTGTACCAGAAAGGTTCTGCACAGTTCAGAAGTCAACACAAGGATATCAAAAGATTCGCCAATTTCCAAAGCTGGGATCTCGATAAGAAAATCACTAAAGTAAAAAAGCATAAATACACTATACAGCAGATAGCAATATCTTAATTGATCAAAAAGCACGTTTTGTATAAATTTAGCACAAGTGTATACTCCTGAATCCCTAATTATTTGTTGGTCAACATGGAGGTAAACAACCGATAATTATATCATCATAGTAGAACAGCAAGAGGATGATCATGCGCGAGGCATGAAAAAACATATAACTCATGTCAAGCTCTCATTACTGCCAATTACAGGTTGATATATCATGTATACACCTATTGACCTATATAGTGTCTCAAATGGTTTTACAAAGAGATTGAAGTGGTGCTACACTGCAGCAGAAAAGATTTCTATGTTGAAATATAAATTCCATGCCGACAAGTATGACGTTCAAATATATAATCCCCTTTCTTTCAGCTTTTCAGTACCATACTGATGCCATGTGCATTGCATAACCCTAATATGTATCCAAAACCGCGTGCCAGAGTCTCAAGATGGCTCATTTACGGACCAGTACATAGAATTTTTTGCAAAAAAAGGAGCCTCAAAAGTCGGGTGGATGGGCACATGAGAAATGTCACGGCATGTCACAAACATCAAGCATAAACAAGCATTTCACTGTCGTAATAAACTAATAACTTAGTACATATCGATAAAGCCAATTCAAACAGATAAATTAGTTGGCAATTACTTCTTGTGTAGAGAAAACAACGAATGAGGCGATCATAAATAGCTCCCACAAGCTCCATTTTAAGTTCCCCACTGCCAAAACATCATAAGCTGGCTAAATCAAGAGAACTAACAGCTAAGAAGCTTTCCCACTTTTTAACTAAAGGCATTCACTTCATCCTTGGGCCAAACCATTCCCCAAACATCAAATGCCATTCCGTCCAATGGTCATGCCAAAATAAGAAGTGCTTTTCGGCATTCACATTTCAGCATCTTCCTCATAATGCTATCTTCGCCACAAGCTCATGAAACTCACACACAACCAAAATTTCATAAGCTAGCTAAAATGAGTATATCAAACAGAATGCCAAGAACTATGAAGCTTTCCAACTCTTAAAATTTGTACTTTAGGGACAAAAAATTCCCACAAGCATCAAAGCTCATTCACTTCAAAGGCCATGCCATATGAAGAAGAGGCGCACTTCAATTCCGCCTCTTCCTCATGAAATCACTATCAACATCAAGCAAGAAACACACTTCTAAATAGTTCTTGACACATTTATCTAAATCCTTGAAACCCTCATAATGCCCTTTCACAAGAATCACAACAAATGATAAAACATAATCTTGATTCTTGAACAACCCCAAATTCACTCATACTTTCCTCTAATTCCCCATCATTAAATTTCAACTCCCAGTTCAATAAATTCCCCAATTTAAACTCAAACCCACTTTTTTCCTTCCAATTCTAATTCAAATTCATCTTCCTAACTAACCCAATTCCAAATTTCTAAAAATTACACAAATGAGCTACATAATAAAACCCAAACAAACACCAAATTAACACAACATTTACAATCATAATACAACTCAATCAACACAGAACAACAACAAAACAAATTAAAACAAACATAATAAAAATAAAATCCAAAAATAATTGAATAAAGTACTTACAGAAGCAGAATCTTTACAGATAAAGAGGAGAGAGAAAATAAAATTAAATTTAATAAAATTAAATTTAATAAAATCAAAAAAAAAATGGGGAATGAAAATGGGGGAAGAAGAGAAAATCCAGCACCGTCTTAAAGTTTCTCTCTCCTGTGGTAGTTTCTCTCTCTAAAATGGTAATGAAGCCATGAAGGAGTTCTTGGGTTTGTCTACTGCACCACTCCTTTTCTTATTATGGCACATTCCATTTAATTTTTTGTCAGTTTATTTAATTTATTAATTATAATAACTAAAATTGAAAAGGAAATACGAAAATACAGAGAGTAGTATCCAGTACAGTACAGTATATTGATGGATACGTCATTTCGAAAATAGCAGAAAAAGTGGGACCCAATGTTAGACCTTGTGTATGTGTTGGTGTTTCTTTTCAGTGTTTCTCTCTCTTCTGGAAATCTGTGCTTATATTTTGTTTCTCTCTCCTCTCTTTTTCGAACTTTGCGTGTGGAAGTGTGAAACAGTTAAAGAGATTAAAGAACCAGGGTTAGATAGATTTGCAAACATTTGCCTGGATGTTCATTGTTAGACTGTGAAAATGTTGAAATTTAAAACTCTAATGTCTATGGGCTTCTAAGTTTTGAATAGAGCTGGACATGGGATGGGCGGGTACAAAAAATGGTCTCGTTAAATATTGTATATGTATTGCTCGGCTTGAGAGATACGTGGTGACTGCCTGACTAGTGAGATATGAGTTGTGCATTCACATTATTATTGTCAAAATTTAGATCAGATTAGAGTTGACCAACTACTCCCTCCGTTTTTTTAAGTGCCCCTCTTATGTTTAATTCACAAACATTGGTCAAAGTATGTTTGATGAATAGTGCCAAAATCCCCAATGGGGGCTTAAAAAAACGGAGGGAGTACTATCTTCGTTTTCCCGAGTTTTGCCCATTTGCTGTATTATTCACAAGGTCAAAGTTTTAAAATTTGGACCATGTCTAATTGTGTATGCATACAAGAAAAAACATCATCAAGTTGGATCTTATTAGATTCGTATTGTTATGGATATTTAATATACAGTAACAACTTTGTATAATTTATACGTAATACACAATCAAATTAATTAGTCAAAATAGTGCATTGAGTAATATGCAAGTAGTAACACTCAGGAAAACAAAGTAAGTAATTTTCACTTATTTGCAAAAAATATCCTATATAAAACATCATTAAAGGGTTTATTGGCATGACACAACATGGAGGACAAGTCGTGCATAGGCTCCATGTATAAAAATTGATACAAATCCAATACAACACAACTTGTTTAAGCATGAGGAATGCTGGCACGACACGGTTTGACTTGTGTCAAACTTTAGTTATGACCTTTCCATGTGCCTTTATATTTGTAAATCTTGTTCTCCTTAACTTGTTTTAAATATTTTTTGTTTATAAAAAAAATTGAAAATTTTAGTAATGATAATCTAAGACGAAGAATTTTCAAATAAATCAAGTATTTTAGACAACACATGAGACATGTGAGTTTATTTTTGACAAATTAAATTTGTTTGCATTCGATATAAGTTTGGATAAGTTTTAATATTATACCGTCTTTATGCTTTACACACTTTGACCTTTTGTAATTTTCTTCTTTTAACTCTAATCATATCATTTTACTAATGTATAAAAACTCAGATGTTATCTTATAAAATGTTGTTCAATTAATATTTATAGAGTAGTTTTATGAAATCCAGTGTGCTTATTAATAAATAGTTTTATAAAATCAAATGTGCTTATTAATAAAATACTCCCTCCGCCCACGGTTATCTTCATGGAGTTTTTGCGAACTCCTAGGCAAAACTTCTTAAACAAGATTATTGAAAAGTAAGAGGAGAGAGAAGGGATAATTAAACCAAATGAAAATAAAATACACAATTAAACATCGGAGAACAATCACCATTTACGGACGCAGAACCACCGCGCCACCCCACGAACCACCAATACCCAACCCCACTTACGCAACCCCCAGAAACTACCACCAAAACCCACCACACCACAAACCAAACCACCGAAACCGCCACCCCACGAACCACCAACACCCAACCCCACTTACGCAACCCCCACGACATCACCACCAAAACCCACCACCCCACAAACCAAACCACCACCCCACGAACAATGTTCTATCTTTCACAAACCAAACCACCACTTAAACTACCACCCCATGAACCCAAACCACAGAAACCCACCACTGAAACCCACGACTCGAAGAACGCACGAAACCCAGGAACTCAAACCACCGTAACCCACGAACTCAAACCACCAAAACCCACCACCAAACCCACGAAACCCAGATCTGGAATCGAAATCCACCACATGAAACCCACGAACTCAAACCACTGAAATCCACGAACTCAGATTATTGGTTGTGGTGGATTAGTGGCGACGGAAAGGGGTAGGGGATGGTCGAAGAATTGTGCGACGAGTGGGGTCTTGTCGCGGTGGTGCTGGTGCTCTGGGCTCGTCTGGGCTGGTGGTAGGGGCGGCGAAGGTGGCCGGGGTAAGGTGGTAATTAGTTGGTAAGTAAGTGTAATTAAAAGATGTTAAACAAAGTTAAAAAATAAAAGTAAGGGTAAAATGGTCTTTTTATTCTTTAAAATTTACTAAACGAGGAAAGAAAAAAATTTATTGCACATAATAAAGAGCACCCATTTATATCAAATATTGCAGAGGAAATAATTTAATTTAAATATTAGTTTCACGTGTAAGAATTATGCATCAGCAATTATGCTTGGTCAAATATTAATTTAAGTTCAAACTAGGTTAAATATAATAGTATATCAAAACTGATATCATTCCATAAATGTTCTATTCACGTTCAAGATCTTAATATGACTTAAGAAGTATTTATAATGTGGCTTAGTGTGACATGGCTTTCAAGTTTGACTAGTTACTATATTTATATTTTGAGTATTTTTTGGCAGATATATATTTTTATGCTAAATTATAAGATAAAATGGACATGACTTGAGTGTTAGATTAGTCAATTTTTTATTTTTTTGACAATAGCAGTATTTTGTTAGATTAATTAAACAAGATTTTAATTTGTTAAGATCTTGGAAAATTATACAAGAATACATGGTCTTAAATTTACTTTATTTTTTAATGTATATATTATAGTTCTGATTAAGATAAGCACTATGTGCATAAGTTGAATTTTTCTATGAAATTATACAAGCCTACTATATTATCATATTGATTATTGTATAGAGGTATAGTTTTATAGCTCACATATATACTATACCATCAACATCTCAATAATTAATTGAAGGCCAAAATCACAACATTTGCAAGCCACTTGACCTTTTTTGAACTTCTGAAAACTTATTAATTACAACTTTTTAAACTATGGGGTCATTTGGTTGACCTTTTCATATAATGTACTTTTTGTAAATTAATTTCATAGAAATGGAAAATAAGTTTCATTCACTTAAATTAGGAGTGACTAATTGACTAAGTAAGCAACTTTTTCAATATTACGTTTAATATACTTTCATTTTTAAATATATGTTTTTTATAACTTTGCTTCTAATATTGCGAAAAGAATAAAAGAAAAAAAATCCTAAAATTTATTTGTTATGTACATAATTGTAAATAATTGAATTTTCTTTTGTTACTCCGTACTTTTTAAAATTTTGATGTACTCATGTATCACTTACATTTGTGATTTATCAAATTATAATCAATTGTTTAGATATTAGATATATCAACATTTGGTTTAAAATATTCAAAGTACATACAGGATTTTGTCCTAAAAATACCCTTAAATATTCAACAAATTACCATGATATACCTGTACTCATACTCTCTCTCTCTCTATATATATATAGTCCGTCGTAATTGATGTATACTTGAGCACCCTCCAATAAAAGTCTAGCTAATTTAAAATGGATTTTTCAGTTGATAATTATTATTCCTTCTTTATTGTAAGTGACAAGCCAACTTCTTTTTAAGTCACTTTAATTTCCAAATTCTACATCATTCTTCCCCTCAAATGTTGCTTTTTGTTTCTCCTTTAGTTTAAATTAACCAATGAAGCACTGCATCATGGCCTCATGAGCTCGCAGATCGCAAAAAGAACGCGGGATAATGCTGATCGATCATCTTTACAACCATTCAAATATTCCTTAGCCTACAAAGTGTCAAATTATACAAGTTGTAAACTTGTAATGTAGAGTTTGTAGCTTGTAAAAAAATAAAAAAAATGTAATGTTTATAGGTCAAATTTGATGGAATTTATTTCTGTACCTATTCAAGTCATTATACATAAGATTTTACAAATATTGCAAATTTTGTTATGAAATTATTTCACAATATAATTAACATGTTTAGGTAGAACTACATGCTTGTTAATTTTTATTTTTAATATGATTTTCGTGACACATTAAATGAACTTAATAAAAATGGAGCAATCGTTTGACAATGGAAAGAGCAGAGATGTTCATCGGTTCAAACGAGATGGAGACTGTAAATTTGTATTTCAAGACATGAAATCTAGGTTAGTTATGCAAAGAATAATATTTTTTAATTTTTAAAAGCCTATTCCATGCATACTTCGATACATATTGAACCGAGAAATTAATTAAAACACTAGTCCATCACTCCATCCTAACACGGATTGCATTTTACCTCTTATTCTACTTCGTAACATATTTCGATACAAAAATCTTAACATATTAAAGTATCTAAACATATATGTCGATCAAAATATAACCCTTAAAAACACGGAGAAGTATAATGCGTTCGGACCAATCAAAACCGACTTTTAAACACGTCTAGTTATAACAGGGAAATCCCGTACTCGTATAAAAAGGAAGAAGTAAAAATTCAAAAAAAATTGGTTATATTCCCCTGAACGTGTCCTTTAACAGATACCCAAACCAAACCTCATTCCCTACTTTCTCTCTCCTTTTGTTGGTTGAACAAACCTCCCTAATGCTTCAACTTTCTGTCTAACTCCCGTCATTCTTCACCTTCCTCCATTTTCTTCTCACTCTTTCCCGCATTTTTCATTTCTAGGGTTTCACAATTTCAATGGCGAATAATTCTGAGAAGCATGATCGAAGCATTTCGATGAGTTCTGGTGATAATTCTGTTGACGTCGTCGATGATTGTCGCTTGAATCATAGATTTTCTGACGTTGTCATTGATGGTAATGGAGGAGGTGTTGATGAACATGGTGATGAGAGTAATGGCGGTAGAGTTGCTTCTTCTGAAGAGGTTAGCAGGGGAAGTTCTTCTGGTTCGGGTTCCGGTTCCGGCGGTTCTGGTTCTGGTGTGTTTCTGATTTGTATAATTGTTCTTTGAATTTGTTATGGTTATTATGTTTGTGATGGTAATTCGCTGAGTTTAGAAAAATTGGTGCATTTAAAATTTGCAACTCATTGTTGGAATTATGGTTATAATTTGGCTTGGTTGTTTGATACTTTGATGATCATTTTTTGGTAGTTGGAGTTGGATAGCGTTTAGGAGATTTATTTGTCTTAGCTAGATAACTGCAAAATTCTAGAACATGAGATGAACAAGGGAGAAGAAGATCAAGACCGTTTCAGAAGTGGACTAATTGGTTGAAATTTTGTTGCAATTTACGAATCTGTTAGTTAGAACTTAGCATTAAGATTTTTGAAAGGTAAGTAGTTAAGGTGGTGGCAACTGAGGGGGGCGGTAATTCAGTGGATGCGCCGATTTTCGAGATTCAATATGGGGACAACTACAATGTGCTCAGATCATAATGTTAATGAGCAGTGGCGGAGCCAGGATTTTCAACTTGGGGGGACAAAATCGTACACCGAATCTTCCTCTAAGTATTGGACTCATTTTCGTTGGACCCATTTTTATTGAGTTTCGTTCTTTTAAACAAGAATTGTCGAAGATCGGGTTGTTTAGTTGCCTTGGATTTGTTTGAATTTGGTGAATCTTTTGACATTTCCTAATTAAATTGAAAATTATATATCAATTTCCACAATCCACATCATTACATAATAACAAAACCTAAGATTCTAATTTCTAAATTTCTAATTCAACTATACATTTCAATAATTTAAATTCTCAAAAACAGGGGAAAAAAATTAAATACCAATAATTCAGAGATTAAACAATTCAATTTTCAATAAGTTCAATACTTCAAAGTTCAAAACTTCAATACCCACAAATCAACAAATGACAAATCCACAATCATTCTCAATCGAAATTAAACAAGTTGATATATACAACAATTTCATCAATTAAACAAGTAATAAGTTGAAATTCGTCTTCAATACCCACAAATGACAAAATCGTCAAATCCACAATAATTCTCAATCGAAATTAAAAAAGACTAACAAGTAATAAGTTGATATATACAACAATTTCATCAATTAAACAAGTAATAAGTTGAAATTCAGATTTACATACCTCCATTGATTTGGGTGAATTGGGTCTAGCGAAGACCGGAAGACCGAAGACAGCAAGACACCCGCCACCAACACCGACACCGCACACCGGCGACACGAACTGTCGTCTGTCGAACTCCAAGTCGCGAACTGGTGATTTGGGTGAACAGAACCGGCGACGGGAGCAGGGGTGGAGCCAATAAAGGGCGGAAGACCGAAGACAGCAACGTCAGCAAGACACCCGACACCGCCACTGGACGGGAGAAGACGCGAACGAACCAACGAAGTGCCGCCGACGAGCCTGACTGCCTGAGAACTCTAAGTCTCCAACTTTCGAACTTCGAAGAGAGAGAAATTGAGAATTGTGAAAGTTAGGGTTTAGTTTTGCAATTTCTTTTCTTCTTCTTTCTGTCTCACTTCAGTTTTTTTTTTAATTTTTTTTCTTTAATTTTTTTTTTTTAAATTTTTTTTTTTGAAAATGGGGGGACAAGTGTCCCCACATGTCCCCTTCTAGCTCCGCCCATGTTAATGAGGAGGCGAGGGGAAGGATAAGGAAAAGGAAAAGGGACTAAAGTAGAGAAGTAGTTTTGCATTTTCCTTTAAACTTGTGACTTTGGAAGAATATTTTCAAAAGTAAATGGATCCATCATTCTACCATTCCCTTCTTTTTCCATCAAATTCTACTCGTTCAAGCACAGTGTAAAATTGTGAATGTTGTTTTATAAGGGTTAGGGAGTTTGAGGATTAGATAATCAAGCTGGAGCTTGAAAAATATACATCTGTTTTACACTTTTACCTTTCCTTAAGCTAGCTGGTGTGTTGGTAGGTGAATATGTTACCATCAGATCATGCATAGTGTACTCACATACACATTGTTTGGACCATTTAACCATGTGCTTCAGATACTTTTCACCGCATACTCAACCTCTTATCACGTGCTATGAGTTACCTCTGTAATTAATGGGCACTAGGGTGTAAAAATATTAGTATGGGGTTACATACTTACATTCACAGATTCACTACATTATGCATTGCCTGATTACTTAAAAGAAGGGTGAAAATGTTTCTAAAAAATCCAGGATCAATGTATGAGATGGTTATAGTTATATGGAGTTTGAGCATAGCCATTGTGGATGTAGACTTATCATGAATTCACCTAGTTTTGCATTAAGGCTTCAAGGCCATTTTTTAAGAGTTTCAAAATTTCCATGTTGGTTTAAATTATATTTCTAAGTATGTACTACGTGTATATTTAATTTTGAAGGGGTCACTAGTGGGAGTTGCTCAAATGGAAACAATAGTTTTCGGGAATCTTCAACTTCTAATCATCTTGTAAAAGCTGGAGAGTCCAAACGGCATAATCCACTCAGTAAATTAGCAGCAAAACTTTTTGATGAAACAGTACCCCTGAAGAAGAAGGTTAGATTTTTTTTCCTCAATATGTATATCATTTTACATTGTCTTTTTTGCCTGTTATTGGTGGCTATTTGTAATATATTCCAGTAATATGTGCATTTTCCCTGTTTTATATCTCATTCCTTTCTCTTGAAATCCTAAGGTGCTTGTTTCTTGACATCTGAAAGTGTTGGTGTTTATTTTTTAGCCTCCCATAAAGCAATTCCATTCTTAATTTTTTTTACTACTCATAATCTCTCTGCTTTATAAAATCTACGTGCTGTCAGAGGCTCTTCTTCATCAGCCCTCTATCCTCCTGTCTTTCTTTTAAATCTTTAAATGAGCAGTATGAGCAGAGAGTCAAACACACCAATGAAAATTATTCTCAGTGTCAGAACTAATTTTTGCTTGTACTAATTCTCACTTAAATCTGTTTAGTTCCATTGTCCCAAATTAGATTAATTTGGCTTTCAATTGAGCATGCTTATAATTTTCAGCTCAAGTGGCTGAACCGGCTTGCAACTGTTAAAAATGACGGAAGTGTACAATTTGAAGTTCCCGGAGATATTAAAACATCAAACCTTGATTTGGGAACTGGTGTGACTTCTAGTGCTAGCGCAGAAGAGGAACAACTTGAATCACCGGAAATTTATGATTTGCCACCTAAGCAAATTGTGATGTTAATTGTTGGAACCAGAGGAGATGTGCAACCCTTTGTTGCCATCGGGAAGCGTTTGCAGGTATAATTTTCGTTTTATTTATATACAAATATTATTGTTATTAAGTGCTTTGATATAAGGAGTGTCTGTATTTTATTGCAGTGGCCTACACAGGAATGAATTATAGGGCTCTTTTAATTTATATGCCTAATGTAAAGTTGCATTCTTGTATATGTGATAGATTGAGGGATTGGTTTTTGCGACTATGTACATGGGTTATGGGTAATACGGTAACACCATGCTGGTGTCTTTTTTAGCATACTGCTTCATCATGGTACTTTAAAAATACTGTATTAGAGTTGCTTATGGGTGTTATATTCCTACAATTTCTCTTGGAAATTTAAAGCCACATTTATACCTTGATTCTGGTCGGTATATTATGCAGCTGCACTTCTTCTTGGTGCCTGTGCAGTTCCACATAGAGAGGTTTAAGATGCACTTGCCCCAAGCACATCTGTGTAAGCAAGGTTATGAAGACTTTTATTTTTTTTCCAGACTCCCTATAAAGCCACTTAGTCCTTTGTTTTATTTTTATGCTGAGTTTGGAATTTAATTTTTTATTTATTTTGGGAACCTGTTTTTTTTAGTATCTTAAGAATCTATATGCTAGGCCTTTTTTAGAATCTATAGAAGTATTTATGAGAAGTTCTTTGAAATTTGTTGGAACTTTTATAATCCTTTCATGTACTTTTGCATGCTTCTTTCCATTTGTCCATGATGCACACCTAGAGTTTAAAACAATGTCCAGGA